TCTGCCGCCGCGAAAGAAAGTGAAATGAAGTCGTTTTCATACTTTACAATATTGCCGTACGCAGTGAGATTTTTCAAACGGGAGCTTACCATTTGCGTCACGTACGTTTCTAAACGCGGAGCCGCGACTTCCTGTTAGTTTTCGCCAATTACCATCGGAGATCTTCGAAATGTTACCCTTTTATCCAATCCTCCGAAGGAACGGAAATGGGCGTTTTTTTAAGAGGCTGACCTGGGATGTTCGAAGGTCGCAGCATAATTGTACCATTTCATCCCCACGCTCCATGAACCTTTCCTAACTCAAAAAAACAAACATAACCGATTTTTTATTTAAAAATGATCTTTTCCTTAACTTATCAACTAATAATTGCATTGAAAACTGTTTGGAAATTAAGGTCCTCCACTTTTCTATACCTCATCTAGAAGAGAAATTAAGAAATAATCGTCTGGACGACCCGAAGAAAAGGTCCTTTCGCCTTTTACATGAAGTCTACTATTTATTATTTCTATTGTAATGGCAATAAATCAGCACACACTTTTCCTTAATGTCAATGAAATACAGTCAGAGGCTATTTTTTATAAAATGCCAACTCTGTCAAAGCAACTCTTTACCGTTCTACTTCAAGAGTTCCAGCCCTGGTCCCCGTCCGTTTGGTTATCGTTGGACGACCCTTCACTCAATTGTGAAAATCGCATGACATTCCGGGCTCAGTGAAATCTTCTTCCCTCGGATCAAAAATTCCGCGTTTCTAAAATTTTCTGCTTACCGTCCCACCTAAAATTATGCCAGTTAAACGATATGAGATATGTGTGGTGCTTAGTGACCGTTAGCAAATGATTATTTGGAGGTCGTGAGATGCGGTTTGGTGTGACGTAGGTTTTAGAAAATCATTTTCTTTATCGTGCCAATGTTTCGATCTTCATTGAGATCATCTTCAGGGCCTTAAATTTATAAACATTCTTTAAATTTTACAAATACAAGTAGGATGAGAAAAAATGAATTTATACAATATTAGAAAATTTTNAATTTTAGATTAAAAAAAATTGAATTTATGCAATGCTATAACTTTTAGATTAAAAAAATGAATTTACACAATGCTAGAAAATTTTAGATTCAATCAAAGTATTTGTACTCACTCAAAGTGTTTGTTGTTATCAAATACTTTGATTGAATCTAAAATATTCTATCATTGTATAAATTCATTAATTTGAATCTAAAATTTTCTAGCATTGTTTAAATTCATTTTTTTCTCTAAAATTTCTAGCATTGTATAAATTCATTTTTTCACATCCTACATGTATCTGTACAATTATAAATCCCAGGCCCTGAAGATGATCTCAATAAAGATCGAAACGTTGGCACGATAAAGAAAACGTTTTTCTGAAACCTACATCACACCAGCTCACGATCTCCGAATAATGATATGAGATATTTTGTCAAGATATCATCTTGTCATTTTATTCAAATCACTTCTGATGTAACTTAAAACAATATAAAACCCGCGAGAAAATACATTCACTCAGCAAGTGAATTTGTACTACTTGGACGTTTTCGATCATCAGGTCACGTCTATGAATCGCCCTTCCTCATCTTCGGTGGTTGTTCTGTGTGCTCTTTCGTCAGCTTTGTCCCACAACATCCAATGCCTGTTTAGATCAGCCAGACCCGCCTAATTATTTGTTTTGGTCTGTCAGACCTGCATCATCAGTGGCTGATTTGAATTTTATAAATTCACACATTCATATCTTCATTTCATTTTTTGCCGAATGTATACAAATAAGAAACGCAATTATGTTAATCAGATCCTGTGAAAGTGTGCCTTTGTGCAAAAATTCATTATTCTTTTCAGGACGTACGAAAAAGTTAAAAATTCTTTTTTTTTCGGGTTATAATCGACATTACTATAGTATTCTTTTTCCTTTTTCTAAATCTTTACCCATATGTGTATCTCGTCATGCACGAATTGTAAGTTTTGTTCATAGTTTGTGACAAGTGTGAAAACTTGTGAATAGACTGGGTTTTACCCGAATTGTTTTAATTTTTTGAAATTTGCCGAAACGAATTTTTTTTCTAAATCAAATTGAACTTTTGCCAAACCAAAAACGATCGTTTTCCAAAACGAATTGAACTTTTTCAAAACCTATTGAATTTTTTCCAAACCGAATAGAACATTTTTCAAAACAGATTAAACTCAATTGAAACCAAACTAAACTTTTTCTAAGTCCAATAAACAGAACCTTTTCCAAATAGGATTGAACTTTTTTCAAAACGAATTATACTTTTTCTAAACCCAAACGAATGTTTTCCAATAGAAATTTAATTTTTCCGAACTTCAACGAACTATTTCTAAACTAAATTGAACTTTTTTCAAACCAGATCAAACTTAATACAAATCAAATTGCAATTTTTCTAAATCAAATTTAATTTTTTCCAGTCAAAATTCGACCTTTGTATATCAAACAACTAAATTGATTTAGAAAATGTTTCGTCTTAGAAATATTAGAATTTTGGATTAGAAAAAAGCTCAATTTGTTCTCGCAAAAGTACAGTTTAGTTTGAAAAAAATTTAAATAGGATGAGTTTAACTTCCGTTCCTCCACTTTTATTTTTTTTATTGGGGTGTTTTTGTGAAAACCCCACAATTTGCACCAGGCTGAATTGTGCTTTTATACACCATATCCAGAGGGTGTGTTCCATCCATGTGACAGGATGGATCCATGAGGACAGTATTGCGAAATTTTTCTTTCTGTACTACGAACAAGAAATTTACTATCAATTGAAATTATTGGTGATTGGTTGAAGAAGTTGGAGAAATTTTACTTTACTCGAAAAACACTGTACAGAATTTTTTTTGCAAATAGCTTGAGAACGGTTGCCCCAAATTAAAAACTGTTTGCACCTTTGAAATCTGGATCAAAAATCCTTTTGAAAAATGTTCATTGATGAGTGCCTTGCCATTTAAAATAATTAAGTTGTTATCCGTGTCCCGAAGTCGGATCAAAACGTTTTGGTTCATAAGACACTAAGATAAAAGAAAAAATTTACGTTCCTCGGGGTTTTTCACAAAATCGCCCAAATATAAACAATATGGAGGGGGGATAAAATTTAAACTCATCTTGTTTTTTTCACGTTGTTTTTCCCTCCATCCTATCGATCGAACTATTCATACAAATATTTATAGCTTCAATGGTATGACGGTCGGTCGGGGACTCATCACTAGTAGGGTCCCAGGTTCGATCTCACGCCCCCTCCCTATTTTTCTATTTTTATTATTATTACTAGAGACCGGATTTTTATGCAGTTTCATATTTTTTTGCCACCACATACGACCGAAGAAATCAATTGTCCATCTAGGTAGCTGGACGTTTTATAGAGCATATTTTTGATATGCTTTGATATATTCATTTGATATTTGATGAATATCGCATAAAATTGCATATTTGAAGGATTTTACGTAAAATCGCATTTATCGTGCAAAATATTTAAAATTGTATATTGGCTTTCAAGGGGGGCGGAAGCATAAAACAATATAAAAAAATAACAAGTTGACGAAAAGTTGGTTTAGTTCAAAGAAAACTGAAACAGGCCGCAACGATGGTAAGAGAAGATCTAGAAATACCGACAAAATAATATAAAACCCCTTCTTAGGTCTTATTTTAATTACAATTAATTAAGGTTTTTGGTTGAGATAAAAAAAGTCAATGGCATGAGCGGGATTCGAACCCACGATCTTCGGCTAGATATGCCACTGCTCTACCACTTGAGCGGTTACGATTCGGTTCGAATCCCGCTCATGCCATTGACTTTTTATCTCAACCAAAATAATAAATAATAATAAATTGTAATATATTCATTGGTCAAGCGGACCACGAAATTAGTGAATCTTATTTTAATATTCAATATTCTCACAAATTTTAAGTGACCATAGGCACTATGTCACTGAAGACAATTTAGAGAAGTACTTGTTTATTAACATTTATACTCAATTAGTATAAAATATATAATTTAATTATGTAAGTGAGAAAATATTTTTTTTAATGTAAATAAAATCTAGGGGTCGTCGTGGCCGCAATGGTTAGGCGTTGACACGGCGCTCATCACTGTAAAGGTCCCGGGTTCGAATCCAGGGGTTCTGCATTCGAACCCGGCATATATGTTCCCATTTACAAATGGGCTTTTTTTTTCAAAAACATCGGCACCCCGAGGGTTCAAATAATCTCGTAGTTGAAATACCCTCGTTCAAAAAAACCTCGTAACTTTTAACGTATTAATACTGCATATTATTGCATATTTCAAGGCTTTCAACTGCATATTTTATGGCATATTTTGGCAATTTTTACTGCATAAAAATCCGGTCCCTGATTGTAACTATTATAGGTTTTGGTCGTAGTACTTACAGTACTGTCCTTCAAGTTTTATGTATCTTTTTATGTAAGGTTTTGGTTGAAATGAAAAAGCTAGTGCCACGATGTTTTTCATTTCAATTAAATCATTACATAAAAAGATTAATTAATTGAAAGAAGTAATTTGGTCAATAGATCACTAAACATAATGGATTTAATGAAATAACTTCACAGAATATAGTTTTTAGAGTAAATCTTTGAATTTCATTAATTTTTATGGTATATTTTTGCTAAATATTAAATACAAATAATATTATAAGAGATAAAGATATTTTTCCAAGGATATGAAGTTCTTCGGTTGATGTTTCTATAGTCATTAATTAAATGATTAATTAGTTCACCCTTGAGTTGAAATCAAATCAATTGATATTTTGTAACAACAAACATACATACAGCATGCTTTGTTACACACTTGTTTATCCACTTTTTTTGGTTTTAAAATCTCAGTAAACCGTTCCGATGAGAATCATAGGATTTCAATTTAAATCCGTTTTAAAACGAAAGGTGAACCTGAAAGTGGTGTGTAGCATGTGGCTTCTACCTCTTGAGGGCCTCCGTCGGATGGAAAGGGAAATCTTAAGAGGGGGTTTCTGGGTCAGACGTATATATCTTCCCACCGACCTTGGAGGGGTTTTAGACGGTCGTCATCCCCGTGGGCATTGGCTCATCCCCGACATGGAGTGTAAATCAAGTGCTTCCCAGTGAAACAGACAACCCTCTCACAACTGTGACCGTTCAGTGATCCCGCTCTTTTTTCCCAATCGGGGCGAACATTTGACCGATCCGTCGATCTGACGCGAATGTCACGATATCAGAAACTAGGAAACGCCATGAGGATTATTATCGTGAGTACTGATTTTAGGCCAATATTTTAAGGTGGAGGTGTTAAAACGGTTAGACAATAAGTGCATCGGTTTTTAATATAATTTAAATAGTAAACTTGTTAAAATCGTCAAATTTAATTAAACAATTTCATCCCCTAAACCAAAATCATATCTTTAAGTTATAACTTCTTTCAAGTTTCTGCTATTTCAAATCAAAACAACGCCTTGTCAATCTGCATTGTTTGTCATTGTCCTGTTCATTCTGGTCCGCTCAGTCTCGCTGTATTATTATTATTTATTTTTTTATTGAACTTGAACGATCGAACTGTTGACAAATATCGGGTTAGAAAAGAAGAAATGTTTTATTTATTTAAAAATTAATAATTACAATAATTTTTAAAGTAATTGTTATTAATTTATTAAGAAGTGAAGCATTCATAATCTTCACTATTATTCGTGGTCCGCGTGACCAATTAATATCATTCAATTAATTAAGGTTTTTAGTTCAGATAAAAAAGTCAGTGTCACGAACGGGATTCGAACCCACGACCTTCGGCTTGATACGTCGCTACTCTACCACTTGAGCTATCGTGACTTCGATCCACTCGAGCACTAATTTCCCATCCCAACCCCACCTTTTAAATTTTCCATCCTTTTTGCCAATTGTGCCAAGAAAAATTAGAAAAAAAAGTGGGGTTGAGACGGGAAGCTAATGCCCGAGTGGATCGAAGTCACTCGGGCACTAGCTTCCCATCTCAACCCCAATTTTTTTTTAATTTTTCTTGGCACAATTGGCAAAAAGGATGGAAAATCCAAAAGGTGGGGTTGAGATGGGAAGTTAGTGCCCGAGTGGATCGAAGTCACGATTGCTCACTGCTCAAGTGGTAGAGTAGTGGCGTATCAAGCCGAAGGTCATGGGTTCGAATCCCGCTCGTGACTCTGACTTTTTTATCTCAATTAAAAACCTTAATTAATTGAAAGTCATCATAATATTGAAATAGGACTGACAAAACAAAAAGAAGGATACTTAAGAAGCCAAAAAGAAAGTTAGGTACAACAATTTTTTTTGCTTTAGAAACGATTGTTCAATGAGATACTTTATTGTTTAAATAATTTTCTCTTTAATTCAAAAATTTATACTAATTTAAAACCCAAGGAAAATCAGAAATACAAATTAGGCAAGGAATAATCTAACATATTTAACGTAAGTGTCGTTAATAAGTTTCTTTCCTAATTAACCACATTAGTCAAATTGGGGTCAATATCGTTGCTTGAAAGTACCAAAGTTTCATGTACCTTCCTTATACATTTGTTACCAATCAGAAAAAAATTTTTAAGTAAAGGAAAAATTAAGTCCAGATACTTTAAAGATTTTTTTTAAAATTACGTACTAATTTGAAAGTTAAAATAACAAACTTAAATTGTCCTGTTCATCCTGGTCCGCCCGGGGTTGCTGTATTTTTTTTAGTAATATAACGATCGATAACGACCAAATTTACTGATTCATAACTTCAACAGATAAATCACACAAAACCTATTTAAAACATTCATTACAGAATAGAAAGAATTTAAGCATAAACCATCTGAAATCGAAAAAGTTTAAGTTTTTTCACGGGATATTTGTTTAAATGTTCAAACTCTCGTGTACTCCGACGGAAAAAATTTTTTGCAATTTTTTTTCGTTACTTGAAAACCTTTTATTAAATTGCTTTAAAGAATTTTTCTTGCCGCTTGGATAAAAGTCAATAAATGTTTTTCAACGATACATTTGAAAAATCGAAGTTTCCAGCCTACCACTTTAAGTATATTTTACAAGCAGTTTATCGCTTTCATCTTAAAATAGATATTGTTCCATAATAGAAAAACAGTATAAATTTATTGTGAGATTTTCTCTTAGAGTCTGCGCGGTGATGAACCTGTAGGTTTGTCTTTCTTTTCAGATTATTTTTTACTGCCTCTCCTCGAGGTTTGGACTGCCGGACGCGCTTCGGCGTCTCGTTGTCGTCAGTGGATAGTCCGTGTATTATTTATTATTATTTTAATGTAACAGACAAGATTAAAAACGCCACAAGTCAAAATTCGTCGGATAAATATCGAACATTTTGTTGAAATCAGCGAGGTGATGCACCTGGAGTTTGGTCGTCTCCGCTAATCCTGGTCCGCATATTCTCGCTGGTTTTGTCTTCAGACGTGCATCGGTATTAATAATTTTTGTATTCTGTGATTTAAAATGGCTAAGTGGTTTTCTCTTGTCATCCGATCAAACTGGTCCGTCTGTTCCCGATGATTTGCTCTGCCTAACGTTTTTAGGCTTTTGTTAATGAAATATTTTTTATGGCTACTATGCCACATATTTGCCACTAAATATGAAAACTACCGAAAGAGTTTGATAAACAGCAAACGTGAGATATTTCGTTGAAGCCAGCTATTTCATGAACCTGTAGTTTGGTTTTGCTAATAATATTTGACTATCTGTTGTTATTGTTTGCTGGTCGTGTTTCGAATAATCGCCATCTTCAGTCGTTGTTCTGCCTGTTATTTTGACAAAAAAAAAAAAAAAACGCTAAAGACAAAATGGATAAACAACAAATGTGAGACTTTTGCAGTAGCAGCGAGCTGGTGAACCTGGAAAATCGTAGTTCTCGCTGATTTAATAAGACATGTATCAATATTCAATATCTTCCATGGTTAATTTGTTTTGCATGTTAAAAAATTGATTTGGTTTTCTCCTGTCTTTCTTGAAATGTGCCTGATTAAAAAAAATTGTATAAATATTTATCTCTTGGCAGTATTTGATCATTTCAACCCTCGTATTCTTGCCGATTTGGTCTATCGCAGGCATTTCGGCTTCTCGCCATCTTGTTTATCTAAACTATTCCCTCCACTGAAGATGGCTAGATGACCAAAACAGCGAGGGGGCAGACCAAAATGATCGAAAATTGCCAAACCTCAAATATTTATCTCGATTTTTATTTTATTTGGCCTTTATTTCTTCTATTCTGTCGGTAATATCATTGTTATTTATTTTTATTTTTAAGGTTTGAATTAGACTACCGGTCCTGTTAAAACACACCATTTAATCTACAGTAATAAATAAACCAATAAACGATATTGATAAGAAAAGAGTTTGAAAATTTTATTGAATTTTTACACCAAAAGCAAAGGTTTGTCAAATTATGTTTAGCTCTTATACATTGTTAGGTGTTCGTTTAACATAAAAAAATATGTATTCAATTTTTTGTTTATATTTTATGGCGGTGTTTTGTGTATTTGACCTATTCACGTACCCTAATTCGTAAAAATATTCCTTTTCTTATTTTATCTCGTATTTTTTCATGAGTATGTAAATTTTTTCGACACTAAATGTATGTATTCTTCTTGAAATCAAGTTATTGTTGGTCAAAGTCCATGTTTACCCACACCTACTTCTTTTGTACCATTGTTTTCAGTACCGGCCCAGCGTTTTTCTTCATCTCTTCTCACGAACTGTCTAGCTCGATTTATAAATTCAATTGTTAACATTATTATTTTTATTATTGTACTTATATTATAATAATGTTCAAATTTGCAATAAAACACTTAATATAAAGTAGCTAAGTGGAAGTACGAGATATCAAACATGCACAAATATAAAAATTATTGTTTTTCTTGGTAATTAATAGTTGAAAATTTGTAATTACTCAGACGTTGTGAGAAAGTACTAGCGACTATGATGAGAAACACGGTCATCAGGACATTTGTGATGAGGTAGGTTGTTGAGTGTAGGCAACCCGTTTTCCTTTCGAACCCAAGGGTCCTTTTAAAGCATTCCAAAGGAATAATAAAAACCTTTTAATTATCATTAAAACAAACTTTCTCTTTGTCTTCCTCTTAAAAAATTGGGGTTTAAAGAAGAAACCAGGTCGAGATTAGATCGATCCTTGGATGCATAGCAAGTGTCAACAAGTGCGTTGAAAAAGTGTTCTTCTTGTATTGTCGGACCGGATCTTAAAAGAGAAATTTGAAGAAAATAATCGAAACTTTGGAATCATAAAAGCTACTAATTTTCCAACGGTTCCTACCTTTGATTGCGGTTAGTTGATGTTTTATTATGAGATGCCAAAGCTGTTTATTTGAAAGAAATTAAGCTTGTTATTCTTTTCTTTTTTTCTATTATTAATATTCTACAGGCAAACAACGGCCACTCTAAGTATTTTTAATTACCTTTTACGCAATCCTCCATTGATAACCTTACAACAATGTTCGGTCCGTTTTAAACGATTAGAGGTAAATGAAAGACATAAAATCTCCCAGTTGTATTTACAATTGGATTTTATAAATAAATATTTGAATAGTTAATTTCTTCTCGTCATTTTTAAGTTTCGAATTTGTTTGAGTGATGGCTTTAAGAGATACAGATTCAGCTAGAATCATAGAATTGTTAGGAGATGGAAGAAGTCAAGCGTAGTGGCCATGGTGATTAACCCAGAAGTCCGAAGGGTCTACCAAGATACTGGAGGTTACTCAATAAGGCACGGATCAGGTCGCCATCGGGTTACATCTCAGGGAGGTAACTACTTGGAACGGGCTTCAAATCAATTTTTGAAGCGAATGGTTATGTAGTCCCGACTTTGTTGAGATCAAGCAACAACTTCGACAAGTTAGAAATGGTAATGTCAGTTTATGCACTGTAAGGAGAAGATTTTCAGAAGCTACATTACGTTCGAGAAGGCCTGCCACTGGTCCAGAATTTCTGACAAGGCACAGAACAGCTCGGTTAAGTTTCGCAAGGAATCACTTCAATTGCCCCGAGCAAGATTGTACTAAAATCTTGTTTCCATAGGAGTCAAGGTTGTTTTAGGTTTTCCGAAAGCCTAAAGAGGATCTGAATAAGAACAGGAAACCGACATTCGACTCCGGAGAAGCTATGTTGGTGTGGTGTCATGGTTTGGACAGTCTATGGAAACTTGATGTTTATCGAGGGTTCCCAAACAGCTGTTGTTCCTTACACGCCACTAAATGGCAACGGTTTTATTTTTATG